ATATTATCAGGAGGGATCTGTCACTGGAGAAGGATATCATGTTTGGTAAGGTTGAAGGTCAGAGAAAAAGTGGAAGACCCCCAACAAGATGGATTGGCCGAGTGGCAGCATCGATGGACTCAAATGTGGCAACAGTAGTGAGGTTGGCCCAGGATTGGGCAGTGTTTTGTTCTGCTGAGCATAAGGTCACTATGAGCCATTACCAACTCAATGGCACCTAACAACAACAACTACAAATCAATTGTGTGTGAAATAAACAACACTGAAATATTAATGTTGTTGTTGTTAAGTGCAGTTGAGTCAACTCTAACTCAGAGTGACCCTGTATAAGATTTCTGAGGAGCGGTTGGTAAGTTTGAACCACCAATCTTGCAATCCAAACCTACATTGTGGGCTAGTGCTTATAGGTGGTCTTAAAGAGAGAGAGAAAAGTTTACAGATATTCTCTTAAATAGGATTTTTAGATTTCTTATTGAAAAAGTTTTAAAAGAGAGAATTTTGTTGATTCTTTGTTAGATGAGCTCTTTCAAGATTTCTGACTGGAAATGTTAAAATCTAAAAGTACACAAAATTTTTCCCAAAATTATTTGACAATAAAACATCTGTTTTAATAAATAGCTTTTAACAGGTTATAAAACACACATTTGGAGATTGTAAACGACCCGTTCCAAACACAACACAATAGGAAAAAAAAAACACAAAAACTGGAGATGATGTTTGATAGAATGGAAATTACAGAAAAGTCCATTCTAAATCCTGGTGTGGCACTGTAGGATAAGCAAGGGACCACAAGGTTGGTTTGAAACACAGGTCAGAGGTTCAAACTCACCAGCAGCTTCTTGGAAAACCTATACAGCGTTGCTATGAGTACGAACCAATTCAACTCCACTTAACAACAACAACAGCATTCTAAGTCTACAATCTTGGTGTGGAGATATAAGATATGCGCTGCAAAGTTGGCGATTCTAATCCACTCTTTAGAAACCCTCTACAGGGTTTCTGTGAGTTGGTATCAACTCACAGCATTTAACAACATTCTAAGTCTATTTAGAATGGATATTACAGAAGTGTCTAATTTATAATGTCTATTCTAAGTCCTGGTGTGGCGCTGTAGGGTAAGCATGGGACCACAGGTTGCTTTGAAACACAAGGTCTGAGTTTTAAGCTTACCAGTAGCTCCTCAGACACACTATGTGGGATCGCTATGAGTCAGAACGGACTCCACGGCACTTCACAACAAGTCTAATTCTAATTATTATTTTGTCATCCATAAACTAGGAATGAATATATTTGCACTTACAATTTATAGATTGTAAAAAGAACAAATTAGATTAATATACCAGCATATTCTTTGTGAACTTTTAAAACAACATCATGCAAATAAATGGATACAATCATCATTCAATATCTTCCAGCTTGACCACTTAAAGATGGCAAAGACATTATACTAGGATAGTAAATGCAGACGTTGTTTTCAAATGTTGGCTATTGTTTCTCTTATTATTTTTTATTTGAAGACCATTATTCATTCTCACTAAAATAAATAATTATGTGTTTCATATGAATTATCATAGTATTTAACATATAAATCATCTGTTTGGGTCACCTATTGTTGTTAAGTGCCATGGAGTTTGTTCCAACCAGTAACAATCCTCTAAAGGGTTTCCAAGATTGGCTGGTGGGTTTGAACAGCTAATCTTGTTGTTACTAGTCCAGTGCTTATTCTATAGTGCCACAGCATTGTCCAGGTATTGGTCACTAGCTGAATTAAAACATTTTAAGGTGTCTTTCTGTTTTACATAGGCCGAATTTCCTTAAAACTAAAATAAGGGATAATGCTTTATTGTGACAACTAAATGCAACAAACTAGGTAGGTGACCTAGTAAAATGCCTGGTGCATGGTTGATGTCTCAATTAAATTAAATTAATTAATTGTCAATTTCATGGTTTTAATCAGTTTAATAATTTTGTTGTTAAAATCTAAGCATTCAATTTAGTTGGTCTTCATTCTACAATAGCAAATGAACTGACAGAGTTTAAACCAATCTAACTAGAGAAGGAGGAGGGAAAAAAAAGTCACAGATGTGTACTAGTCTTCATTAAATAACATACTATAACATTCATACTATAACATGGTGGTATTTTTTCAAATCCCAATTCTATAATGATAACAGACATTGATCTAAAATGAGCAGGAAAAAACATACAGCAGTTATTTCAGGAACTGTCTGCAGAACCACACAGCTGTTCTTCTATGGCAACATAATTGGTAAAAAAAATCAAACAACTCTGTGTTTTTATCCAGGAACAAGTTACACATGGATTGAAGGCAATCCCTCACCAAAGTCAGATCAAAGCCAACTCACTCATGCTGCTCTATCTCTTCCCTTCTGAAAACGTTTCCATTAGAGGCATACAGAAGAAAGGACCAAGGTAGATGGTTCCTCTCTTCGCTTGCCACAATGTATTCCTTTATTAGAAGTCTTGGTATGGTGCTGTAGGATAAGCACTGGATCACAAGAATCACAAATGAGCCGAAGGCACTTAACAACAACATTCTTTTACTTGCCACTTGACTCCCTCATATTAATTTGAAGAAGACTACAGTGGTTCTGGAGGATAAGTGCCACAAGGTCAGCAGTTCAAGCCCACCAGAGGCTCTGCAGGAGAAAAATGAGAATTTCTGCTCATGCAACTATTTATAGCCTTGGAAACCCTAGAGAGGGTTGTTATGAGTCCAACCTGACTCAACAGTACTTAACAACAACAACCTACTGTTTAGGGGCTCTAGTGGCCCAGTGGGTTCAATCATTGGACTACTAACCATAAAGTCCTTAGTTCAAACCCACCAGCTGCTGCTTAAGGAAACAATGATGCTGTCTGCTCCTATAAAGATTTACAGGCTCAGAAACACTATAGAACAGTTCTAGGTTGTTCTATATGGTTACTATGAGATAGAATTGACCCGATGGCAGTAGGGTTTTCATACTTTTTAACACTGTTACTTTAGAAAAGGTATATGCTACACACACTTAACCACAGCTGTCAAAGTAAATTGTAAGGCCTAAGACTTTGTTTTCATTTTTCATTCCTACTGTCAAAGTCTAGAAGTCTTAGGAATTCTCACACAACAGCTGAGCCTCTGAGAGCAGATAGTCACATGGGATCAGAACATGCTGCAGCAGTTCTGTTGCTTTCCAGTTCTTCCATGAAAGCTACTGAGAATAAAGGAAACACATTTGCACCAAAGTGACAGTCTTATCAAACACTAAACCACTACACTCAGAGATGCTTCAAGATAATCTGTCTTAAACAATTTTAAGGATAAAATATATATTTTAAAATATTATGCAGTCAGAAAATGACAGATACAGATTAAAATAAGATAATCGTTGGATGAAGTGAGATAATCATCGCATGTTGGGAAGGAAGGAAGGAAGAAGGTACTGTAAATGAAAACAGTGAAAGAGAAATGAAGTAACAACAGAAGAAAGGAAGGAAAAGAAAGAGAGAAAAGGAAGGAGGGAGAAGAGTTATGCAAAATGAGTAGGACCTAGACATCTGACTTCTGGATCCTGGGGTGAAATATTCCAGACACAATATATAGCATGTTGGCTACTATTGATAAAAAAAAAAAAAAAATTGAGTACATGAGTAGAAAATACATGGAGGCCAGCCACTGGAGATCTTAAATGCCAAACTAAAAAATTGTACATTTACCATTTTTCAGAGAAAAGCCATTGAAAGCTTGGGTAGATCAGATTTATATATATTTTAAAGGATCATTCTGCCAGGAAGGAACGTTGGTGACCAATGACTAAAGGATTGGCTGCTAACTGAAAAATTGGCAGTTCAAACTCATGAGTTGCTTTGTGGGAGAAATAGCTTTTTGCTCTCATAAAGATTACAACATAGGAAGTTCTATGGAGTACTTCTACTCAGTCTTATAGGGCTTCTGTGAGTCAGAGTACACTCCAAAGCAGAAAACAACAATTTTATAGGGGAATTAAGAATATATCTACCCAGCTACTAGCTCTGGGAAATAAGTCAACTATTGACTAATATTTCTGTCTCTTTAAAAGTTAATGAGCATGAATGGCCTAATCACAGAAATAAGATTAAAGAAAAAGAGATATGCAACAAAAAGGAATAAATCTTCTCCAATTCATTCCTTATTCCACAAATGATACCCTGTTATGGCCTTTGCCTTATTATCCCACCAACAAAATATTACGTTGTGATTGTTGTGAGCAATGTCTTTTCCTTGTTTAAACTAATTCATTGTAACCAGATTCACACATGTACTAGAGGATGTTCATATAAAGTTGTAGCTGTACTTGGAGATGAAGCCCTGGTGGTACAATGGTTATGTAGTAAACTTCTAACCAAAGGTTGGTAGTTGGAAAAACTCCATGAGAGAAAGATCCAGGGATGTGCATCCAGAAAGAGTACAGTCTAGGAAAACCTATGCAGTAGTTCTCTTTCATGAGTTGGACTCAACTGGACAGCATCTAATTGGAACAAGCAGAACACTGTGGCTCTGTAGGATGAGCACGAGACTGCTAACTACAAGATTGGCAGTTCAATCCCAACAGCTGCTCCATGGGAGAAAGATGAGGCTTTCTGCTTATGCAAAGATTCACTGCCTAGGAAACCCTGCATAAACAGGGTCACCATGAGTCAGCACTGATTCAAGGGCTCTTAACAACAACACTGAAAGAAGAGTTATGGTCAGAAAGGTGGACAGAATGACGACTGTAGCACTTTTCAGTACTACAGAATAGGTACTAAAAAGATGAAAAGTAGACAAAAATACTGTCTAGAAATAAGGAAAATTAAAGAATTCATAATTAAAATTATAGTTATTTTTAAACTTTGTGATTTCAGACACCATTGAGAAACCAATGAAGACGATCCTTAGTATTAGCATCCTTAAACATAATGCTGAATTATTAGTTTTAGAGGATTTTTCTGTAATTCTGGTAAGAATCAAGCTGCTTTTTGATTATGACATACATCAAAATTTCATATTACTCAGAAAAACGTGGCTAAATCATTACTTACATAATCTGTTGTTAGTGCAGCACATGGGTGGAAATGATTAAAACAAATATCATTATCCTTTACTGAACATATATGCTTCTCTAAATCATTGTATCTCTCCCCAGAGAGCACTAAAAAAAATGAAACACAACATTTTTTTCAATTAATAGATATGTAATGACTAGAATAATTTTTTTTGTAAAAATGCTTATGGGCATATCAATCTTACCGAGTCTAACTTTATATGACTGCTTTATTTTTGTGTAGTTTTTACATTTGGCATGAGAATCAGTTTTTCTTTTAGAAGCCGTGTTTGTTTCCATTATATTGTCCATTTTCTCCCAGTAGCATTTTACTGACTGTAGCCACCTTAAAAATTCATAAAATATTTAGGCATAACATGTAATGATTTCACATGAAAGAAGATATCACAAATAGAGAAAATTTAATGTGCACTAAAATTTATACTTAAGCAAATAGACAGACTAGTTGGAATTGAATCCCTACTTCAATGTCTATCAGCTGCGAGTCTTTTAATCAATTCACTTAATTCACTGTGCCTCATTTTCTTTAAGTTATCAAGTATATAAAGCAACTTGTTAAATAGACTGCACACAGGCTTGTTATGAGTCAGATTCCACTCAACGGCTCTTAACAACAGCAACAGCAACATCAATTAATAGGAGTCCTAGTAAGGCACTGTAGGATATGAATTAGACTGCTAACCACAAGGTCAACAGTTCAAACCCACAAGTCATCCATTGAAAACCCTATAGGGTGACTATGAGTCGAAATTGACTCCATGGCACACAAAAATAATAACTAATAAGGCTTTGCTATTTTTCTAATTATGTTTTACAGGTAAAGCATTATGAATAAATCACAGGGTTCATAGCTGAATTTGTCATTATGCTATGCAGTTGTCAGTTGTTATTTTTATTATTATTTAGGAGTCCTGGTGTGGTGCTGTGGGATGAAGCAGTGGGTTGAAAGGTCAGTTTGAACCACAAAGTTGGTGGGTCAAACTCACTAGCTTCTCCTTGGAAATCCTATACATGGTCACTATGAGTCAGAAGCAACTCAACAGTACTTGACAACAAAAACAACTATTATTTTACTTCTTGATGAAAGATAAAGGAAAAAGGATATATAAATATAACATTTCTAGTGAATTTCATTTTGAAATGTGAGGGACATTTTCCTACTCGATTGCAGATCTTGCTGGAAGAGTCCTTGATTTTTCTTTATAGAGGCTTTGCTCAGCACCTGCCAGGATGCTTTGAAGATGAAGAAGCAACTTCATAAATTCATCCAAAAGTTATGAAACTCTTCAGAACTCATATGTTGTTGTTGATATGTGCCTTTGATTCAGTATCAAGAAACAGTGCCCCTGTATAGTGTTTCTGAGACTTATAAATCTTTGCAGGAGGAGAAAGCCTCATCTTTCTTCCATGGAGTGGGTGGTGGACTCGAATTGTTGACCTTGTGGTTTGCAGTACGATACTTACCGTACAGGGCCAACACACTGCCTCAGAATCTATAAAGTATAAAATTCAAACATTCAAAATAGGTAAGCATTTTGCCCAAAATGAAACTAATACCTACTCAGTGAGATGTTCAGGGTTACTTATTGTAGCCGAAAGAGCCAAAAAGGGACATCGGATCATGACAAGGAGGTGCTCCCAGACTTCTGCCCCAAGTTCTCCACCAATACAATGGACCTTTCAAAGAAAATGAGTTCTCAGTTGAAAAACTGATTTAAAAATTACAAATTAAAATAAGCTTGAAATAGTCATACATAGTTCCCCATTTACCATTTATTAGCCATGCCAAAATTAAATAAATATTGCCAAATCCAGTCATAAAAATTTTGACAATTTAATTTTCTCAAGCCTCTTAATGAATCCATCACAAATTCCTCTTTTCCTTACTTACAGCAATTTCTTTCACATTAATGGATTTCTATCCTTCTCCATTTCTAACCAAGCCACCATTACACATCTCACCCCAACTATACTAACATCCTCCTGACTGCAATCGTTGCTTCCACTCCTGACCCCCACAGTCTTCAAACAGAACCACAATATGTTCAAAAGGTAAATTTCATCAGTTCATGCCCCTAAATAATTCTTTTTTAAAGTATCACACCATTGCACATGGAACAAAGCACAAACTCCTTTATAGTATAAAACATCTGACATAATTCAGCCCCTGCTTACCTTTTAATCTTAATCTCAAGTCACTTTTCCCACACTGCATGTGCTCCAGACATATGGGCCTTGCTTCATTGCTCTTTCCCCTTGAAGCTTTCACATATACTGATCCTTTTACTCAAAATGAGGTGCTGTGACTTTGTAGGATAAGCAATGGACTGCTAACCACAAGGTTGGCAGATCAAACCCACAAGCCACTCCTTAAAAACCCTAAACAAAGTCACAATATCGATAACACTTAATAACATTACTCAAAATGCTCTTCCCTCTATTTTACTAGTAACTCCTTCATAGTCTATTGAGTTCAGCTTAATGTTACTGTTGTTGTTAAGTGCAGTTGAGTGGGTTCTGACTCATAGTGATCCTATGTAGGGTTTCCAAGGAGCGGCCAGTGAGTTTGAACCACTGATTTACAGTTCAAACTGACCTTGGAGTCTAGCACATTAACCAGCAGTGCCACACCAGAAACACTAAGAAACTAAGAAACCCTTTTCTGACCAGCTGTTCCAGAAGTCCTCCTTGCCCACTTTGCCATATTGCTGTCATGACAGCCTGCTCTTTCTCTTCACATGGGCCAATGTATACTTACTTGTTTAATTTCCTTTTCAGTTAAATTTACACCTGAGTATCTCCAAATTTAATATAATTCCTGACACTGAGAAGATACCCTAAACATATTCCCTGAATAAATAAATGACTGCCTTTTGACCAAATAATACAAACATATATAATTCAGCAAAAACTCTCAAACATGGTTTTCATTGAACAAACAGATTGCAACACTTGACAAGCAACCATAAAGGATTTACTCTCACAAGAGCCTAATAATACCAAAAAAAAAAGATAGAATATTTCCAAGATTCATTGGCTACATCCTGACCAGATAACATACCACTTTTCTGAATATTAACATTGCTGCTGCAGCTGTGTGCCGTGGAGTCAGTTCTGACTCATAGTGACCCTGTACAGGGTTTCTGAGGCTGTACATCTTTATGGGAGCAGAATGCCTCATCTTTCTCCCATGGAACAGCTGGTAGTTTCCAACTGCTGACCTTGTGGTTCGCAGCCTGATTCGTAACCACTATGCTACCAGAGCTCCTTGAATAGTAACATTAGGTTTGTACTATATTGCATGCCTCTAACCCTGATGAATCATTTATTAACCTTCAAAACTCTTTAGTTTTACCCTTATATAACATCTAGAAAACTGATATAACCATTCTTTCTCCATTTCCCTTCAGAATTTGGTTACAGATTGCAAAGACAATTAACTTTGTTTTACCTTGGAGGGGAAATATTTAAGGATTTCAAGAAATAATATATACAGATTAACAAAAAAATAACTGAAACAAGGAGTTATGTGGGATCATATAAATCAATTCAGGATTAAACAACTCCAAAGTATATAACAACATAAAAGAGAAACTAAATTGAATTTTGTCATCTAATTCCTCTTTAAATTGAAAAAGTTTGTAGCAAAAGAGCACACATTTTTAATTTTCTGAATCTTTGAATAGATATTGGTAGTGATGTTACTTGGTATCTTTGCTGAGTATCTTCTATTTGTCCTTATAAATATCCACTATTTTCCACTTCACTCTCTCTACCCAGGAAACTGATCTATAAAGATTACCTCAAAAGTGCTCCTATATGCTCTGGTTCTATAGAATTTGGACAATGGAAAACCTTGCAATTGATAAATGAAAAGGGTAGAGTGAGTTGCAATCTTTATTGCCTTGACTGCCTTCCTGAAAGATTACTGTGATCTGACTGCATACATCGACCAAAGTAAGAAGAAGTTCTCAAATGAGCAATTATTTTTGAATTTCAGTAACTCCTTTATTTTATCCTTTGGGATTAAGGGTAAACTAGTTCTGGGTTAGAACTAACTCTTATAGTTTACTCCATTCACAGATCTTTTAAACACTTTTCTTGAAGTCTAGTATTTTGAATGTCCTATACCTTGACTAAGAAGTCACTATAAGTAGTCACATAGGGTCACCATAAGTAGGAATCAACTTGACGGCATTTCACAACAACACATACTTTGACTGATGATATAAATTACATAATGGTCATTATTGAGGCAATTGTAAAGCAATATGCTTTTCCTTGGGAAATGCGGTTTTTCCATATAATAAGTACAGGCATGCTAATGACAAGGTCCTCGGTTCAAGCCTGCCAGCCACTCCACAGGAGAAAGATGAGACTTTCTGCTCCCAAGAAGATTAAAGGTCTTGGAAACCTTACACAGGAACACAATTAATTAGAACAACCCCACAGCACTTATCAACAGTAATAGCCTCATTCTTTGCCTTAGAGACCAAGGACTGAATTTTGAAATCTTTGATCAAGCAAACTTATGATATGGTGAGTGTCTTACTTATCTAAACCTATAACAAAAATTCCATGATGAATGCCTTTAACAAACAAATTTGTTTTCTCATAGTTTAGCATGGTAGAAGTCTAACAGCAGGGTGTCAACTTTAGGAAAAAGGCTTTCTCTCTATGCCTACTCTGAAGAAAGCTCCTTATCTCTTTAGACCTTCTGGCCCTGAATCATCTTCATATGACTTGGTATTTTTCTTTCCTCATCTCTGCTATGCTTACTTGCTTCTTGTTGTTGTTAAGTGCCACTGAGTCAATTTCAACTCAAAGAAACTTTGTATAGGGTTTCCAAGGAGTGTGGCTGGTGGGTTTGAGCTGCTGACCTTTCAGTTACAGTCCAGTACTTACCAGATTTCTTTAATATCTTATAGAGAATTTCTCAAAACATGTCTTTCACTAACCCTGCCTGATTAACACAACAAAGACACCCCATTCCTAACTGTGATTATAACCACAGGCATAGAGATTCAGATTAACAATACACATGTTTGTTGTTATTGTTGGAAAGTGCCCTGGGGTTCATTTCAACTCCTAGTTGTTGTTGTTAGGTGCCATCCAGTTGGTACCGACCATAGTGACCCTGTGAACAACAGAAGGAAACGCTGCCCCATTCTGGGCCAACCTCACTATTGTTGCCACTCTAGAGTCCATTGATGCTGCCACTTTGCCAATCCATCTCTCTGGGGTCTTCCTCTTCTTCTCTGACCCTCCACCTTACCAAACATGATATTCTATTCCAGAGAGTGGTCCCTCCTGTCAATATGTCCGAAGTATGAGAGACGAAGTTTGGCCATCCTGGCCTCCAAAGAACACTCTGGCTGCACTTCCTCCAACACAGATCTGTTGGTTCTTTTGA